TGACCTACTCACAATCGTCACGTATACACAAACCGCAGGATAATCAAGTTAGGTTCTTCTCGCAATATACTGTAGTCAAATACTTGACAATCAACTGATAAAGCAGCAGAGTACTGAAGCGTCCTAAACGTTTATGCAATTCGTCAAATGGCAAATTTTTTTTTTTCCGCTTACAATTCGTGTTGACTTTTATTCAGCTATCAAGCGATTCAAAGCAAATTTTAGCGGGCAAAGTTCAGGCACATCATTGCACAGATTCACTTACCCGAACACTATTTGCATAAGAACACCAAGCCACCCCTACTATTCGCAGATGAGCAATTTGACGCCTGTTTCTCGGCTGGTTGCGTTAAATCAGAGTAGGATCTACTATATGCTTATGAGCATTATTAAATTTCAGGAAGAAATATACGCCACAACGGGTTTGAACTCTGCGCTTCTAACGCATGCTGCCAAATGACTGTGCCATTAACATCTGAATATACACGAAGTTTGATGTTGATTTTTTACACATGTCAAATGAAACCTCCATTTTTTCTAGTTCAAGTATCATACTTAGATCAGTTAGTAACATCCGTGTCGCGCATGGCGGCTAAATTTGAATATCCTTCAAACGGGGTTCTTTCTGCCATGCATTTTCATCATTACTGATTTGCGACGTCTGCACTTCTTTGGGCAATATTGACTATATTAGCCTTTACTAAATTTTGACCTGTATTATATTGCATTTTGAGTCGTTTTTACGTTAAAATAGCACAGCCTGATGCACATCAGAGGTTAGGTAGCACCACTGTCAAAACACGATTGGATAATATCTTTATGTTAATTGAAACAACTGTAACAATCTTTCGGAAAAAAGCTTCAGTTTACACAAATCTATGCAATTCTTTAGCTTGATGCATATGTATTGATTAGCATGAATTTTGAACTTGTGACGTGGTAAATCTAACAGCTGTAAAATTCTGCATGCGTTCGTTGAGTTCACCATTGGTAACTGGCTGCACAGTGTTCAATCCATTAGTTCGCTATATTATGTAATTACTACTGTTACTCATCATCTACAGATACACTTTCAGATCTGTGCTACTTCAGTAAGTATACTCACGATGACGGCATTGTGACACAGACATAGTAAATTAACGTTATAGCTTCAAGCTGCATATACGCAAATTTTGTCATTTTATATGATGAGTGTGAAAGCAATCGCAAGCTGAAGAATCATAGTCTTGATTAAACTTTATAGGGATTTTCAAAGGCGATCATTAAGTTGGCGAAATTGTTGCTCTCCTTCTCTCAATATATTCTCATGTAGCACAAGTTCTTCAGCTTCCGCTTAATAATGAGAGCCTTCTGACTTGGGGGGGGGAGGGGGGCTGATTGCAAAGTTAGTTTCGAATGAGAAAATAGTTACACGTATTCAAAAATCATTGCCCTCGAAAACCTGCTAATAAATAAATGAAAATTATACATATATGAGCGACAATGTTTGCAGGCCGATTATTTGGACACAGATAATTCGGAAAGTCAGCGATTCACTTGTACACTTCGAACACGTGCGTGAATGAAATTTCATAACAGATTGGTCGGAAGCTTCAACCGATGAGAAAATTTTGGTTGAACGTTAAGCTGATTTGTAACTGAGAAGTACATCACCGCATATATAATAGTTATTTTCCTACCGAAGTTGGTATGCAGTCGAGAAAAATTTTGTTAAAATCGCCGTAGATATTTACCAACATTCCATTTGGGAAGAAAATTTAAGGTTCTATCTAGTTAATTTAAAACAGTCTTACGTGATGATTTTGAGAAAGATTGAGACTGTAAAAATTTTATGATTGCATGATT